GGTTATTAGTAATTTAATAGTTTGTTCCTCTAAATTTTTGATTTTGTAAGCTGAGGCAGCCATAACTATTTCATTACCATAAAAATAAATGGAATTTCTAAATTTTATTACTTGAATTGAATATTAGGTAAGACATATCTTTTAAAAGAATTTCTCGATATTGGTGAATTTACAAGAAGTTCTGATTATTTTTCACATAAATTTAATATTTTATCTTGAGTGTCAAAATCTTCAAGGTGTTCCTTCTAATTCTTCTTTGGGGATATACTTTTTTATATTGCATATGCCTTACTTATTTTTAATTGGTTTAATATTTTAGAAATTTCTTCTAATGTTGTCATATTTATTTATCAATTTGAATTCTTTACATTCCTCATGAATAAATAATAATAATAATAATAACAATAATAATAATAATAATAATAATAGTAATAATAAGAGTAACAATAATAATAATAACAACAATAACAATATTATTATTTTTATTGTTGTTATTATTAATATTGTTAGTATTGTTATTACTATTGTTATTATTTTTGTTGTTATTATTGTTATTGTTGTTGTTTTATTATTTTTATTTAGATTTTCTTTTATTCTTTTTTATATATTGGGATGTTATTTATTTTAAAAGGAATCCTTTTGCGAAAGGTTTTAAAATAAGATTTTTAGTAATTTCTTGGAAGAGGTCTTCATTCTTCAATAACTCTTGTGTTAATGTGAGAAGGAGAAATTAATTTATCATAGCCATATTGATGACAAAAATTGTATCATTCTGATTTTTTTTAAAATATTAAAATAATATTTTAATTAAATTAATAGATTTTGTAATTATATGAATGATTTTCTTGAAATGATTATGATTATTTTGTTAATTAAGGAAAAACTATGAAATTATTTAATATTTTCATTATGAGATATATAGATTTTAATTGTTTTTACATATTTTGATTATATATTCAAGTTTTGATTGATTGACTGGTTTTTGAATAAGGAAATCATAGAATTCTAATTCATTTTCTGGAGGTAATATATTCTAAAAACTTTCTTTATAATCTATCCTTGTGAAAATTATTATCATAAAATTATCAGTATACCACCTAAAATCTCCTAAGGTAAGGGCATCTAGAGTTGTGAAGTTAGAGATTTTTGCATCGGAACTATTAGAATCTCCAAAAAAATTTCGAATTATTTCTATTGTTAAATTTTCTACCATTGTAGGTATTTGTTGACTATTTTATATTTTTGTTAAAGTTGTTATAAGGTGATTTTACTATAGGGTTAAATAATTATCCTATCATCCTTTTTAGGATTCAATAAAATTGGTTATTAGTAATTTAATAGTTTGTTCTTCGAAATTTTTGATTTTGTAAGTTCAGGCAGCCATAACTATTTCATTAGTGTTTTTAAGAAGTAAATGATCGGTCATATCATCAATTTTCATTCTATAATTCCATTACCATCAAAAATAGATGGAATTTCTAAATTTCATTACTTGAGTTGAATATTAGGTAAGATATATCTTTTAAAACAATTTCCAGATATTGGTGAATTAACAAGAAATTCTGACCATTTTTCACATAAATTTAATATTTTATCCTGAGTGTCAAAATCTTCAAGGTGTTCCTTCTATTTTTTCTAGAGGTATATACTTTTTTATATAGTATTTTCCTTACTTATTTTTAATTGGTTTAATATTTTAGAAATTTAATCTAATACTGTCATATTTATTTATCAATTTAAATTCTTTACATTCCTCATCAATAAATTATATAAATCTTATCAAAGATCTATTTAAATCTAATTTAGGGGTTCTTTTATCTTTAATCTTGAATAAACTATTTAATTAGCTACTTGAGGAAACAACTGATAATAATAATAATAATAATAATGATAATAATAGTCGTCGTAGTATTAATAATAATAATAATAATAATAATTATAATAACTACAATAATAATAATACTAAAAACAATAACAATAATAATAACAATAATAGTAATAATAAGAGTAACAATAATAATAATAACAACAATAGCAATATTATTATTGTTATTGTTATTATTATTAATATTGTTAGTATTGTATTATTATTATTGTTGTTGTTGTTATTATTATTGTTATTGTTATTGTTATTGTTGTTATTGTTGTTATTACTATTTTTATTTAGATTTTCTTTTATTCTTTTTTTATATTGGGATGTTATTTGTTTTAAAAGACTTTCTTTTGCTAAAGGTTTTAAAATAAGATTTTTAGTAGTTTCTTGGAAGAGCTCTTCATTTTTCAATAACTCTTGTGTTAATGTGAGAAGGAGAAATTAATTTTTCATAACCATATTGATGACAAAAATTGTACCATTCTGAATTTTTTTAAAATATTAAAATAATATTTTAATTAAATAAATAGATTTTGTAATTATATGAAATATTTTCTTGAAATGATTATGATTATTTTGTTAATTAAAGACAAACTATGAAATTATTTATTATTTTAATTATGATATATATATAAATAGATTTTAATTAGTTTTACATATTTTGATTATATATTCAAATTTTGATTGATTGACTGGTTTTTGAATAAGGAAATCATAGATTTCTAATTCATTATTTGGAGGTAAAATATTCTAAAAAAGTTTCTTTACAATCTATCCTTGTGAAAATTATGATCATAAAATTATCAGTATACCACCTAAAATCTCCTAAGGTAAGGCATCTTGAGTTATGAAGTTAGAGATTTTTGCATCGAAACTATTAAAATCTCTCAATTTTTTTTGAATTATTTCTATTATTAAATTTTCTACCATTATAGGTATTTGTTGACCATTTTCTATTTTTTGTTAAAGTTGTTATAAGGTGATTTTTACTATAAGGTTAAATAATTATCCCACCATCCTTTTTAGGATTCAATAAAATTGGTTATTAGTAATTTAATAGTTTGTTCTTCGAAATTTTTGATTTTGTAAGCTAAGGCAGCCATAACTATTTCATTAGTGTTTCCAAGAAGTAAATGATCAGTCATATCATCAAATTTTCATTCTATAATTCCATTACCATAATAAATAGATGGAATTTCTAAATTTTATTACTTGAATTGAATATTAGGTAAGATATATCTTTTAAAAGAATTTCCAGATATTGGTGAATTTACAAGAAGTTCTGATTATTTTTCACATAAATTTAATATTTTATCTTGAGTGTCAAAATCTTCAAGGTGTTCCTTCTAATTCTTCTAGGGGTATATACTTTTTTATATAGTATTTGTTGTGACACCCTCTACCCCACATTACCATAACACAAAACAAAAATTGAATAACATAATTTTTTTTTCATAATTGAAATACCAAACATGTTTAAGTAGAGGGTATCACATCCATAACTTAAACACTAGCTTAATCAGGGAAAATTACATTGAAATAATATAAGGTCTTCCTAAATAATTTAATAAAAACATTCTAATCTAATTCTATCTATGCCCCGATGTCACATGTCCTATCAGAGCAAATTCCAACATAGAAGCCTAAGCTTCATCACCAACATCCTCAATCTCATGCTGATAATTACCTGTAAGACAGTCAAGGAAAAATAACACAAGAAAAGGGAGTGAGAAACATCTCACTCTGGCTCACAGTGTAGAAATATACGTCGGGTAGCCAAACACAAACAAAACATGTATAACGTACATAAATTAATAAAATCATCACATCTCATTCATCCAAGACATCAATTTTTCATATAACATTAAAATGCACATGTATGGACACAGACTACATTTTATCATGCATGTGGCGCTAGTAACATATCACATGGCATATTGCCGCTAGCAATACACGAAGAGTAGTCTAGGAGTACATGCCGGGTCACACCCTCTGCGCACTCTCACTAGAAGGACATACATATTACAAGAAAAATGACTTATGCCTACACACAAAAATGTCACTAAAAATCTAAATTCCATAGGTAAAGGTATCATGGACTTTGACCTACAGACATTGAAGTTGTCAACTTTGAGGGGGCATATAGCTACAACTAATAGCCTATCACTATAAGTTTTACCTACAAACATAATTTTACCTACAACTACATTTGACTGTCACTATAAGAGCTACCTACATTTTGCAATATGCGTGGGTAAAAGTCATTGACTTATATTTACACTCCCTACTATAGGTAAACACCATTAAGTTGTACTTACATGTTATGACTGTAGGTAAAAGTCATTAACTTATTCTTACATGCTCTGACTATAGGTAAAAGTATTTTTTATTTTATTTATTATTATTATTATTATTGTACCTATAAATATATATATATATATAATATCTCTTATAGAGAATATGTGTACTCTATATGAAGTGTAGTTCGAATTTTATTATTATCTTGTATACAAAAAATGACATTAAAGTATAAAAAAAAAGTCAAATTTCATTAACTGATATATTTAATTTAATATTTTGTTCTTGCTAAATTTCATTAAATAATAAAAACTATATATACAAAACATAAAAAAAGGAAAAGATAAGTAGATGACTTATTCACATACTAGTCTAATATGGAGATTCTATATCACTGTCAACAACTAGTAATTGTTATCATGTTATTCTAAACATCATGTTTGTATTATATTTCAAGTATCATTGTTCATAGAGCTAGACATATAAGTATCCAAACTATGTTAAAAAAATGACAAATTCATGATGCTAAAGTTGCTAATTAGAAATAAAAAAGGAAAACATATTCTATGTTTTGGAGGATTAAGTAGTTTGTGTAGTTCTCCATTTTGCTATATTAGATATGTTGTGTTAATCTTGCAGTTTTATTATTATTAACTTCAACAGAATTTGATCTTTGTGTGTGAGAGAGATTCTACAATAATATTTCAATGCACTAAAAATAATGAGAAATGGTTGAATTAAAAAATGAAGAAATTTCATATTCTACATGTTGTGAAAAGTGTAATTTAATAATTCCAAAAAATGTGACAACAAAGCACAAATTCACAAATTCCCAATTTACCTCATCCATTACTAACTTTCCATATTCACCAATTACATTCATTAATCTGTGATCATCTACCGCACAATCTCGAATTTCTCAAATAGGGACATCACCAACATCAGTTAGCACTCGTGCATATCTTGTAATTCTTTGCCTGCATAATCAAAATTGTGCTATTATAAGCTATTAAGCTACTTATTATCATAATTTACAAGTAATTGAAGGCCAAAAATAATTGCTTCCATGACCATGGTAGATTCACAGACAAAGCATAACTAGATATAAGGAATCATGCATCATTATAGAAGTCCATGCTATCCTCATAATACAACCAAAAGAGAAAGGAAAAAGTATTAAATTGCTTTCATGTTCTTCATTTATAAAGCAATAACAGTTTTATACAACATGGAAGTTTCAAAACCATAAAATCCCAATATTTTAAGAACTAGAAGAAATAATATCCATAATTTCAAGGTTTCAATTGGGTAAGAGTTTTGCATTCTTGAATCTTCTACTACAAAATTCGAAGCAAAAAATCAATTATCATTTGCAAGTGAGTTTACAAAGCAAAATTTAAGTTGCTCTAAAACTAATGACACTTTCCAAGATTTCTACTTTCCAAAGGAAAACCATATGACTACCTTCTTCAGTAGTTGACTTTGTACTATCACACCAAATGGCCTCGCAAATGTGAGCCAGGGCAAATGTAGGACCTTGAAGGAAAGATAAATTATGTCCCAAAGGAACTCCAAGAAGAGTTGAAGTTGCTTTAGCACCTCCCAAAGCACGCACAAGTTCTCCTTGGAGAAAAATAGCTTATGCATTTATATTTTTTCATGCAAATCTTATAATCAAAATCACCAAAATAAAATATTAAATTATGGTTCACAAAACTAAATAAACACAAATATAGTGAAGCAAAATAAACACAAATATGGCATGCCTTAATCTTTGCTCTTTCTCGAATAAGAGTAAGGGAAGCATCTATGACACGACTTTGGCCTTTCTCTAGTAAAGTAGCAAATACTTCTGCAGCATTTAGACTTGGCATTGAATGGATGCCTCTGCGTGCTATAATTGACATTTTTGTACCAAAAGAACAAAAAAATTAATTAATTAATTAATATATTTAGAGGCCAAAGAAATTTTGTCAATTTTACTCCTATTAGATGAAACAAAGTAAAAGCATGGTCACATTCATGTAATTAAAAGTGAAAAACAAAAAAACATTTTCTGAAACCGAATAGCCCCTAACCTCTCATCCTAAAACACAAATGACAAAACCCAGCAAACACAGCCATGTGACTCAACTTCTGGCATACATCAAGCAATCGCTTCAACCTTGATTTTGAAACTCTAATCAAAATTCCTTTCTTCTTTTTTTGTATTATTAAAATCAAAGTACAAACAAATAGATAACTAGATTAACTGCACCTTTACTTCCTTTTTTTTCTCTAATTAAAAAATAGCAAAACAAATATCATAAACAATCATTGATGTTACCATTGAAACTGCTTTAAGTTCGCCTACTCTAAGAAACACTTTGTTTACAAGAAACAATTTACTAAAGCTTGTGATTAACAAAGTTCTACTGCTATTGTAATATTTTAATGCCCTGTTTGTCATTACTGATTCCAGTAAAATGTCTTAAAAGTTGTTTTTTATCCTAAATTCCTTATGAATACTTTAAGTAAAATATCTTACTCTGATTTTTTTTACATTTGTCCAAAAAATAAAAACTACAGTTAAGAATGATTGAAAACATCCAAAAACCAGTTCATATCCTGTATTAGTCTAGATCTTCTTTTTTTTACAAGCCTCTATCTCCTTAATTAACAACAACATCTCTTACTTTTTATTCACTTCCTATCTTTTTTATTTCTTGAAGTGTTATATATTTTCCTATTAGTATGAGTTTTCGAGTAGGTTCTTATTGTCTCAATAGAAATTACAATGACATTATACTTGCTGGTTTTGTTTAAGGACAAAAATGCGAGTGATATACTACAACTAGTGTGAGTTTGATTACCTGTGAAATTAGAAAGAGTGACTGCTGCAACAATTAAAGCAATTAATTTGATTTGTGCTGAACTAGGATTAAGAGATTACTTAGGAGTTGTTTGGTGTGAACAGAGTTGTCTGCTCCAACATAAGCATGAAAATATTAGCGAGACAAAAATGGACAAGGATAATGCACATGATAAAAGGCCTTTTGGTAAGCCTGTCACATAGAACGAGCCTGCTAATATTGCTAGGCCAGAAAATGTTAAAACTGAGAAAGAAACTAGACAAGATAAGCAAGAAAATGTACCCAAGCATCTGAACATATCAACAACTCTTTTCGATTGAGGTTCTCCCTCTCTTAAAACAACCATAGATTGAATTCAACAGATTAATGATGATGAAAAACATCATGAACAAGCCAATTTCAAATCAGAACATCAAAAACAAATAACACTCGTAATTTCAAAAGGAAAATAACACTATAATTTCAAATCAAAACGTTAAAAAACAAATAATGAACATTCGTATTCCTTCACCTCAAATTTGTAATCTCCGAAAAATTTGTTCCACCTAAAACCTCTGAAAAAAAAAAATCATAATGAAATATTATACAAATCAAAAATAGGGAATCAAAATGGATACGAATCGAAAACTTACCTTAAATTAATCCAACCGATCAAAGAACAGTGTAGAGAAGAGCAAGCTTAAAGAAGCTCTTGCGAAATCACTAACCCTAAATTGGACACTTTGCGAAATGGTTTTACCGTAAATTGCTTCACGAACGATTATATTGAGGGGGAAGAAGAAGAAGTTTGAGCGTGATAGGTTTTCGCAGTAAAGTTTCCGTGGAGCATTTCAAGTTAGGTTTTTTTAATTTTAAATTTAAGTTCTTTAATTCTTTTATTTTTACTCTCAATTCTTTTAATAAAAATATAAATATACTTTAATTAAGTTGTCCACGTGGTCACACAAAGAGATAATGAGATACTTACATATTGTGGCGGTTTAAAATCGCCAAAACTTTAATTATTTTGTTCCCTAGAATTACAACATTTTTTGGCGGTTTATTAAAACCGCTAGAAAAAAATCGCCACTAATTAACTAATTTTTTGTAGTGATAAGTCTTTGAAGGCTTTTACCTACATTGACAATCTGTTGGTAGAAGAACTTTAAGTTGTATTGAGTTTTTCTTACACCAAACAAAAGTGGGTATAGATTTTTGAGTTATACCTACATTAAACATTTGTAGGTAAATTTTTTTTTTAGTTTTACCTACACTAATTCAGGTCTATAGGTAAAAGTGTCTGTAGGCATAGGTTATTTTTCTTGTAGTGATACCAGAGTCTCGTCGGGATAGCTAAGTCCCGCAAGATACATCTCATGCACACAATGGGCGAGACTGGGACTTACAAACTGAGCTATCCCCAAGGACTAATCCCCAAAGCTTTTACACTAGGGGGCCTTCTTTGGCGGTGTATTCCATATCGTACCCTTAAAAATATTTATGCACATGATGCATGTCAATCAAGACTTTATGCATTCTCATATCACATTATTATCATCACATCTCATCATCACATTTCATCATTATATTCTATCATCATATTTCATCATCATATCTCATCACCATATTCACATTATCACATTATCATGTTATATTCACAATTCTCACAGAGCACTTTAATCCATATTAAAACTCATCTATTTGCAAAATTAAATACATATTTACACTCTACAAACATTAAAGAACACAACAGAAAACTTAGGGGATAAAACAGAAAACATTCATATTTTGTCTGTTTTCTTATAGGTTTCCCGTAAGAACCATAGAGCACTATAATTCATATAAAAACATATTCATTTTCAAAATTAATCACATACTCATGCCATCACATCCAACAAGGAACACAACAAAGCAATCAGAAGGAAAAACAGAAAATATTCATATTTTTCTCGTTTTCTCATAGGGTTTCCCGTAGGAAACCACAGAAATCTCAAATCATACAATTACAATTTTAAAACTGAACTTAATCGTTCATTCAAGCAATTTATCCAATTAATTAAATACAAGAGCAACAATAGATGAAACAAATACAATTGGAGAAAACCCCTTATACATGAGCATACAACAAACACAGGATTGGAGGTCAATGCCACTACCCAACATACATTCCCACACCAGAGTAAGGTTTGTCAGCCCCCCTTACCTGGATAAGCAGAAGACAAAGGGTCTTGGTGTGATCTAAGATCGATCCTGAGTACTCTTCCTTAGAGCTCTTTGTTTTTCCTCTTTTTTTCCCTAACCCTTCAGAACACAAATGAGGCAGATAAGGTTAATGCTACCTTACTCCTTTCTTAAAATTAGTCCATTGGATTGGGTCAACCCAACTCATTTTCCTTCTCTTCTAACCCACTTCTCTTTTTCCTCAAAATAATTAAATAAAATAAATACATGTATATTATAAAATATTTTTCCTCTATAATAATAATATATTTCTAACCCAAAATATAACAATATAATTTCAATAACAAAATATCATATAAAATCAACCTACTCTTGAAACATATAAATATTTATTTAAAAACGCTAATAAAAATACTTATTTAATACGTACAAAATAATTGTCCAAAACAATAATTATTTAAAACGTACAAAATAATATTCCTCTATAATTATTAAAATAATTATGACCAAATACCATATAATAATAATAATAATAACCTTTTTGAAAACTGGGGTGTTACATTTTCCTTACTTATTTTTAATTGGTTTAATATTTTAGAAATTTCATTTAATACTCTCATATTTATTTATCAATTTGAATTGTTTACATTCCTCATAAATAAATTTTATAAATTTGATCAAAGATCTATTTAAATCTAATTTAGGGGTTCTTTTATCTTTAATAAACTATTTAATTAGCTACTTGAGGAAACAATTGATAATAATAATAATAATAATAGTCGTCGTAGTATTATTAATAATAATAATAATAACTACAATAATAATAATACTAACAACAATAACAATAACAATAATAATAACAACACTAACAATATTAATAATAACAACAATAACAATAATAATATTATTATTGTTGATATTATTAATATTGTTAGTATTGTTATTATTATTTTTATTGTTGTTGTTGTTATTATTGTTATTGTTATTGTAATTTTTATTATTTTTGTTGTTATTATTATTTTTATTTAGATTTTCTTTTATTCTTTTTTTATATTGGGATGTTATTTGTTTTAAAAGGCTTCCTTTTGCTAAAGGTTTTAAAATAAGATTTTTAGTAGTTTCTTGGAAGTGGTCTTCATTTTTCAATAACTCTTGTGTTAATGTGAGAAGGAGAAATTAATTTTTCATAGCCATATTGATGACAAAAATTGTATAATTCTGAATTTTTTTAAAATATTAAATAATATTTTAATTAAATAAATATATTTTGTAATTATATGAAAGATTTTCTTGAAATGATTATGATTGTTTTGTTAATTAAAGAAAAACTATGAAATTATTTATTATTTTAATTATGATAGATATAAATAGATTTTAATTGTTTTTACATATTTTGATTATATATTCAAGTTTTGATTGATTGACTGGTTTTTGAAGAAAGAAATCATAGATTTCTAATTCATTATTTGGAGGTAATATATGTGACATCCTTACTACCCTAACACATATAGCGTAATAATGTAATTAAATTAAGGAAATAAATTTTTCAACACTGGTAAAAGGGTTCACATAAAAATTTTCACAAATGTTCTTCAATATCCAAAATGATTGAAAATGAACATTGGAAAATAAAAAGTAAGAGTTTACAAATTGTTTTTAAAGTAATAAGTACAACTCCAAATCCATATAAAAATCCATGTCCTAGAAATCCTCTGCCCCGATGTCACAATATCAGAGCATACCCACAATTCAACCGTTGGCATTCTAGATGCCACTCATAGCTGAATCTTCCTCACCTAAAACATCCACAACTACACGGTGAGAAAAGAAAACATCTATATGTAAAGCACACAAGGAAAAACACAACATAATTTCATCAATTAATGAAGTCTTTACAAGCATATCCATATATTCTAATTCTATCAATCATGCATCATATTCACATCACAATTTCACAATCACACCAGTCTATAACAAATCATGCAATTAACACTATGTCAATGGTCACGCTACGTCAAGGTTGTGCCACTCTATGTAACATCCGGAATCTTCTACATAATTATTATTATTTTATAATTATGGAGCTTATTTAAATTTTATAGAACATTTTAGAGATTTAAAAAAAAAACTATATGAAATTTTATTTTATTTTATTTTATTGTTTTAGGCCTAGAACGGGCCGTTCCAAAAAGTGGAACGGGTCGTTACCATAAGTAGAACGGGCGTTCCAAAAAGTGGAACAGGCCATTCCAGACAAATAAAATGGCCTAAAATCCAAGTTAGAAACGGGTCATTCCAATTATGGTCAATGTGTGTTAAAATGAACCACAGAACGGGTCGTTCTAATTTTGAGAACAGTCCGTTCTGATTTTGAGAATGGGTCGTTCTGATTTTGAGAACCGGCCGTTCCAGATTCTGAACGGGTCCTTCCGGGTACCCCTGAATGCCTATAAATAGGAGGGAGGGGTTGTGAAAAAAATTGTAACTAATGAAGGTAAAAACTTAGAGAGAGAAAGAGAGAGAGAGAGAGAGAGAGAGAGAGAGAAAGAAAGAGATAGAAAGAAAGAGGGAATCCAAATGAGGAGATTAGCAAGGTTCTACTCTAGTTTCAGCTCCTACTTATCGAGGTAAGGGAGGAGTGA